ACCTTACAACAAGGGAACAACTAACAGAACACAGTTTACCTCACACCAAGGAAACAGTCAATAGAACACAGCTAACCTCACACCAAGGAAACAGTCAACAGAACACAGCTAACCTTACAACAAGGGAACAACTAACAGAACACAGCTTACCTCACACCAAGGGAACAACTAACAGAACACTGCTAACCTCACACCAAGGGAACAGTCAACAGAACACAGCTAACCTTACAAGGGAACAACTAACAGAACACAGCTTACCTCACACCAAGGTAACAGCTAACAGAACACTGCTAACTTCACACCAAGGAAACAGCCAACAGAACACAGCTAACCTCACACCAAGGGAACAGACAACAGAACACAGCTAACCTCACACCAAGGGAACAGCCAACAGAACACAGCTAACCTTACACCAAGGGAACAGCCAACAGAACACGGCTAACCTCACACCAAGGGAACAGCCAACAGAACACAGCTAACCTCACACCAAGGGAACAGCCAACAGAACACAGCTAACCTTACACCAAGGGAACGGTCAACAGAACACAGCTAACCTCATACCAAGGGAACAGCTAACAGAACACTGTTAACATTACACCAAGGGAACGGTCAACAGAACACAGCTAACCTTACAGGTTTTTACTCCCTGTCACCACATTGATGGCCATTGACACCATTTGCAACGGGAAAGAGAATTTCCGCTAGCACCTTATTCTTGCTGATTTAAAGACCCAAAAAAAAAGAGATTTGTGCTTGACATCATTAATGATATGTTATCATCAGTTGATACAAATTTATTTATATGATTTTCTAGAACTCCAAAACCACACTTTCAGGTAAATCCCCTATATCAAGCACACCTGGACAAGTGTTAACTGTACATCCATTGTATGTCAAGACGTCCCTGATAAGAAAATGCAAAACTTGACAAACAAATGATATGATGTATGATAGATAGGACAAATATTGGACGTGTTATTGACTATTTGAGGTCGCCATTTAATAAACTTGTTACTTATCTCAACAGTTTACAACTCTGTAGTAAATAACAGTTTACAACTCTAGTATATAACAGTAAGTCTGTATATCCCCCCCTAACATATCTACAGCACATGATCAGCTCTTCTACCTCACCAGGATACACACCTCCGACACCCCCGACCCCTCCCCACTAACATATCTACAGCACATGGCCAGCTCTTCTACCTCACCGGGATACACCCCCCCGACACCACGACACCTCCCCACTAACATATCTACACCACATGGTCAGCTCTTCTACCTCACCGGGATACACCCCCCCGACACCACGACACCTCCCCACTAACATATCTTCAGCACATGGTCAGCTCTTCTACCTCACCAGAATACACACCTCCGACACCTCCGACACATCCCCACTAACATATCTACAGCACATGATCAGCTCTTCTACCTCACCAGGATACACGCCCCCGACACCCCCGACACCTCCCCACTAACCTATCTACAGCACATGGTCAGCTCTTCGACCTCACCGGGATACACACCTCCGCCCTCTCCCCACTAACATATCTACAGCACATGGCCAGCTCTTCTACCTCACCGGGATACACAACTCCGACACCTGCCCACTAACATATCTACAGCACATGGTCACCTCTTCTACCTCACCGGGATACACACCTCCGACCCCCCCGACCCCTCCCCACTAACATATCTACAGCACACGGTCAGCTCTTCTACCTCACCAGGATACACAACTCCGACACCTCCCCACTAACCTATCTACAGCACATGGTCAGCTCTTCTCCCTCACCGGGATACACAACTCCGACACCTGCCCACTAACATATCTACAGCACATGGTAAGCTCTTCTACCTCACCGGGATACACAACTCCGACACCTGCCCACTAACATATCTACAGCACATGGTAAGCTCTTCTACCTCACCGGGATACACACCCCCGACACCACGACCCCTCCCCACTAACATATCTTCAGCACATGGTCAGCTCTTCTACCTCACCGGGATACACACCGCCGACACCCCCGACACCTCCCCACTAAAATATCTACAGCACATGGTCAGCTCTTCTCCCTCACCGGGATACACAACTCCGACACCTGCCCACTAACATATCTACAGCACATGGTCACCTCTTCTACCTCACCGGGATACACACCGCCGACACCTCCCCACTAACATATCTACGGCACATGGTCAGCTCTGCTACCTCACCGGGATACACACCCCCGACACCACGACCCCTCCCCACTAACATATCTTCAGCACATGGTCAGCTCTTCTACCTCACCGGATACACACCTCCGACACCCCCGACACCTCCCCGCTAACATATCTACAGCACATGGTCAGCTCTTCTCCCTCACCGGGATACACAACTCCGACACCTGCCCACTAACATATCTACAGCACATGGTCCGCTCTTCTACCTCACCGGGATACACACCGCCGACACCTCCCCACTAACATATCTACAACACATGGTCAGCTCTTCTACCTCCCCGGATACACCCCTCCGACACCCCCGACACCTCCCCACTAACCTATCTACAGCACATGGTCCGCTCTTCTACCTCACCGGGATACACACCTAGTATATAACAGTAAGTCTGTATATCCCCCCCTAACATATCTACAGCACACGATCAGCTCTTCTACCTCACCAGGATACACACCCCCGACACCCCCGACACCTCCCCACTAACATATTTACAGCACATGGTCAGCTCTTCTACCTCACCAGAATACACACCTCCGACACCTCCGACACATCCCCACTAACATATCTACAGCACATGGCCAGCTCTTCTACCTCACCGGGATACACACCGCCGACACCCCCGACACCTCCCCACTAACCTATCTACAGCACATGGTCAGCTCTTCTACCTCACCGGGATACACACCCCCGACACCACGACACCTCCCCACTAACATATCTACAGCACATGGTCAGCTCTTCTACCTCACCGGGATACACACCTCCGACACCCCCGACACCTCCCCACTAAACATTTTGCTCCCATGTCAATGCAACAAAACTGACATTGAGATAAGACACCATTATAGAGTTTATTAAAATGATTTATTTCATACACAGGAGAAACTATTAATTTGATCTACTTCAGTGTTTATCTGTAGCAGAACTGGACTTGGCTGATCATAATTACCAACCAGGTAGCTCAATTGGTAGCGACTGTCTGTCTAGAGTTCGGATGGTCCCAGGTTTAAATCCCAGGCTGGTCGTATATTTCTCTTTCTCCAGTTATATATCTATACCCTTGATAGGTACAAGTTCTTTGTAATAATATAATATATACCACATATCAAATTAAAAATCTTGTTTTTAAAACAACTCTTTTTCTCATTATTTAAATTTAAATAAGTTTTCCCATTTGCTTATATGCAACATAAAAGGATTAAAAATATTATTCATCTTGTTGAAATTAAAATATTGTGTGGTCGTCCCATAATAAGGATTGGAATACATTGCACTTACACACCTGTTATAAATAACTGATTTCCTTTTCAAATACTTTCTAAAGCAATTTTGTCAGACCATATATATATACACATAACATCGTATTCTTGTCATCACTATCTCACTGTGCAGGGGAACTGGAATTGATCAATCAATGGCAACCAGGAAGCTCAATTGGTATAATGCCTGCCCAGAGTTTTAGTAGTGCTTTCGAATCCCAGTCTGGCTGTGCATTTTTTCTGCTCATATTACAAAATTATTGCTGTGGGGGTTGTAGTGATGTCTTCGAGAGCGAAGACTTAGAAAAAGGAGAGAGGATATAGCAGAACTGTACTGGGTTGTTTGCCAGCGACCAGATAGCACAAATGGTAGTGTCTGTCTAGAGTTTGTGAGGTCACAGGTTCAAATCCTTGTCTGGCTGTGCATTTTTCCACTCCTAGTATAACAGTAGCAATAGTAATAACTACATATGTATTTTCTTTAACCCTTTCACCACTATAGACCATAATGGACTTATCCAGATCTATGCATGGTAGAGTTTATTAAAGTTACAAAGGGGTGAAAGGGTTAACAGTAGTTTACTACATAAATACCTTTTCACAAGTAAATACATCGCTACCTATATGGCGAGTAATCGTGACACTCTGCTTAGGCACAACAAAGGTTGAATTTACTCAGAAGCAGATTTAACTTTTAAATGAATTACATGTCTGGCCATGCATTATTCTTACTCTTGTTGCAGTTAGAGGTTATAAAGAGTAGTTGAGAATTTTATCTTCCAGATAACACCACAAACTGCACAAGTATGTCCATAAAACAATTCCTTCAAAAACAAGTTCTTTATATTTTATAAACATATTAATAAAATCAGTTATTTAAACATTTTACAATCATTATTGAACATAACCAACATGATTTTTTCACTTCCTTTTCTGCATTAATGTAATGGATAAATACAAAACAGTATTGTTAATCTTCACGTAAATGCCCCAGTTTTAATACCTGTGCGTATTACTCGTCAATTAACATGGGCACGGACAGGTAAATGTGGCAATTTATCGCTGGGAGAAACCTTAGAACTCGTCCAGGTTTAAAGTTTAGCTGATTGACTTTAGTAATGTGTTGTGAAAGCACTTGGACATTTAAATCCCAAATGAGCTTAGACCGGCTACGTTAAATCATATAATATCGGAGTTAGTATAATGTCCTATAGTCTGGCAAATTCAAATAGGTAAACATAAAATTAACCTATTCTTATCATTTTTTGACAAAACAAATACCCATTGTTAACGACTAAAGACCTATGCGATTAAAAACCGATGGAATGATTACTTATTTTATTGATGTCACCAATATAAAAATTAATCCGAATATCTGAAAATCTTCACGTCAATAAAGAGAAAGTAATGCAGTAGTGGCTGTTCCCCCAATGTGCCCCCTCCCCAGGATATGTAGTAAATGCACTAGGAAGAAAATCAATGAACAGTATAGATTGTGACTAGTAAAAACGGAGGTCCGACCTGACATGCCGGGGAAGTGTGTGTTTGTATACTGCCGGTATAGCTGGCATTAAGCCATGAGTAAGGCTTCTGTAGAATATTATTACAAGACCAGGAGCACCCCTGTACCCCTGTGATACCATCGGAGTACCCTCCCCAGGAACCAACATCAGTTATCCCCACCTGCTCCACCTCCTCCCAGTCTCTGGACCCGACCAGGTATGCAGTACCAACAATCTCAGGTGTAGCAACAGGTGTTTTATGAGTTACCGCTGTAACACGGACAGGTAACCCCCACCATCCGTAGGTACCTCGGTGTCAGGGGTCAGGTCCTTCTCCTTCCACACATCAGGATCCTCAGGGGAACAATCACTTGTCCAGGTGTGACATCACCGACAGGTGAGACAGTGTATTTGACAATAACAGCCAACACGTGGATTGTACAGGAAGTGAAAGTATGGATGTAAACAAAACCAACGGAGAGTCTCTGGATGGGTCCAGTGTGGATGGTCTTCCCCCTGGGGATGAGGAACACAGCCTCACCCCTGGAAATCAGGGGCCAGAGGGAGAGGTCAGTCAGAACAGGAGTGAGGGGGACGGAGTGGAGGATATGGAAGATTCTCGAGATTTTGTGGATGCAGTGGCGGTCACTGAGGAGGAACTAGACTACATCATACCTAAACAGGATGTGGACATCATTGATGTGGAGGGCATGGAAGAAGAGGTCAAAGGTGAAATGATGACCTCAGAAAAGGTAGACAAATTAGAAACTACTGGTGATCAAATATCCCAGCAAATTGTTCCTGAAGTTATCGATGAACAGGAGCACTCTGGACAAGGTGAGTTCTTAGATGCTCTCAGTGATATAGAGACAAAGCCTCAAAGTGAAAGTAAGGAGGCTGATGATGAGGATAAAGATGATGATAAAGACAGTGACAGTGATGAAAATATTGGTAAGGAGGCTGATGATGAGGATAAATACATTGATAAAGACAGTGACAGTGATGAAAACATAGGTAGTGTTAGTGACGATGAAAATGTCAACTTCAAAGAGAATGAATTGGATGAGGAAGGTTTCCATGACCTGCCGTCTGCTAAGAACGTGACAAAACGTCAGAGCACATCCACAGACGAGCTGATGCTAGGTTTCCATGATGATGGTCAGTCATCTATAGTTAGTGACATCTTCACTGATGTCAACGCCAGATTCGGACAGCTCTATAGGGCTGGCTATCGACCCCATTCTCGTGACGTGTCTCCTCCTGGATCTAAATTTGACTCTCTAAGGTCAAAGTATACACAGCCAAGGTCGTACACACAAAAGAAGAGCATGACACCCTACACGATGGTGGGCCGACCGATCGGGTACAAAATGTACATGGACCTTCCGAACAGCAGCAGTCCTTTAGGATATTACCTTGACGATGATGAGAGACATGTAAGTTTTCTCCTACAGTATTATGTTACCTTGGTTACTAAATACTGCATCCACATATAAGTGAATGGACTTTGACATGTTCCATCAACAGCTAAGCATACAGATCAAAATATTAACATGTTACCTCAGCCTTGACCTTGTATAGATCATGTCTCCATCACAACTGTCAGCCTTGACCTTGTATACATTATGTCTCCATCACAATTGTCAGACTTGACCTTGCATAGATAATGTCTCCTTCACAACTGTCAGCCTTTACCTTGTATAGATGTCTCCATCACAACTGTCAGACTTAACCTTATATAGATAATGTCTCCATCACAACTGTCAGCCTTGACCTTTGTACAGAGTATGTCTCCATTACAACTGTCAACCTTGACCTCTGTACAGAGTATGTCTCCATCACAACTGTCAACCTTGACCTTTGTACAGAGTATGTCTCCATCACAACTGTCAGACTTGACCTTGTACAGATCATGTCTCCATAACAAGTCAGCCTTGACCTTTGTACAGATCATGTCTCTATCTGTCAGCCTTGACCTTGTACAGATAATGTTTCCATCACAACAGTAATCCTTGACCTTGTGCAGATCATACTCCATCACAACTGTCAGCCTTGACCTTTGTACAGATCATGTCTCGATCACAACTTTCAACCTTGACCTTGTATATATTATGTCTCCATCACAACTGTCAGACTTGACCTTGTAAAGATCATGTCTCCATCACAACTGTCAGCTTTGACCTTGTATATATTATGTCTCCATCACAACTGTCAGACTTGACCTTGTAAAGATAATAACTCTATCACAACATTCAGCCTTGACTTTTTACAGATCATGTCTCCATCACAACTGTCAGCCTTGACCATTTATAGATCATAACTCAACTACAACTGTCAACCTTCAACTGTCGTATAGATCATGTCTCTATCACAACTGTCAGCCTTGACCTTGCTAGGGGTTGAACTTAGGATCTCTTGTTTATTAGTCATACTCTCTTTTGAATAAGTTTAGGAGAAGTTCTACCTAGCATAGTTGATTGGAAGCAGCAAGTAATTTACCATAGCAACATATTTCCCGTCCAGGAAAGGGCTTCTCCAGAGTCTTCCAGGGGTCACAGTAATTCTTGTAAAATACTACTTACTAATTTTGTCAATTTTTACTGGGTGAAATGGGTGTCCAATGTAACGGAGGTCATTATGTTTTCAATGCCTCAGCTAGGAGTCGAACTAGGGACCTATGGATTACTCATCTGGCACTTTATAGACTTAGCTAAAGATAAACTCTCCCTAGCTAAGTAAGTTGGAAGAGGCTAGTAACTTACCAGGGTGACAATAACTCAATCACAACTGTCAGCCTTGACCTCTTATATATGTAAAGCCAAAAGAAAATTTGATATTTTCAGCTACCCTGATCGACCCTTATTTTTACCTCTTTCACAAACAATTTTATCTCACTCAAATGCCGAAAAACTCATAAGCATTTTTATGACACCTCTTTATTTCATATGTAGGTATCAAAACCAAATTTAAATACCATATTATTATTTACAAGACCTAAATAAAAGAATAATGAATACAGTATGTTCTAAATCTTTGGGGATTTTCGTAATTTCTTAAATTGGCCCCCTCCCTTAAACTTTTCACCACTGTAGACCATAATGGTCACATCCAGATCAATGCATGGTAGAGTCTACTAAAGTTACATAGGGATGTAAGGGTTAAATAATATAATAATAAAATTAAATTAAATCCCTACTGTCCTACCCTATTTTTTCAGTCATGTCACCTGAAACACACATACACTTGTTTTGGCCTAATAGGAATCTCCTGAATCAGATACATTAATTCATAGGTAAAATCAATTGATGGAGTATTACATTTAATGATCCGATATTAGCCACAGGTGGTGATGGCTGGAACCCATTTAATGTGTATCAACATGAATCGTTGTATTTGTTACTTAAGGCAATTAATAGGCAAGGAATCTAGTGATCACAAAATGTTTCTATAATACCAGGCTAATAAGACAGAGCACCACAATGGCATCTAATGTTTCTAATCATTTTGGTCCCATTTATGATCTCTATGGAGTTAGAACAACAAGATAGATATTAATACAGTAATATAACTCAATAGGAACAAAAAGCAGGTTTTCTGTAACATTAAAAATAATGATGTTTTCCATTATTGGTGAGGCAGTTCTTATTTTGATATTTTATTCACAACCCCTTGATTGCAGTCTTATGTAAACCAAGGATATCACTCAAATTGGTGCAGTGCTTGAGGTCAGGTATAGTGCAAATATTTTTGTTAAAAAGGGGGCATAGTTCCATATATTTGGAAGGTTCTGTGTACAAAGTATCCTTAACTGAGTCATTCACCCATGACATTTCATAATGAACTATTCCAACCTTTGTATTGGAAGAGTTCAAATATGTCTCCTGGGGTGAATGAGTTGAAATTGGTGCATTAATTTGAGAGGAGAAGTGTGAACAATAATGGACAAAAAGACAGACAGACAACCTGGCTCCAGTATACCCTGCCCCCCCCTCCCAACTTAATTGCAGGGTGTGTGTAATAATAATAAATGTAAATGAATTTAATACAAAATTAGTTTAAAAGCAGGTAAGGTACTTGAAATGGTTGCACTGCTAAACCAATAAAATATCATTTAGATCTCCTTTTGATTTGAGAATATACATATATAGAAGTAACATATGAGGTGATAAATGCCCGCAGTGCCGGTAAGGCGGCAGAGCAGGTGTAAACATGGGCACTGAAGCCCAACACATACATAAAACATGAATATTGTCACACGAAAAGGTCTCTACACAGAATACACGGTCCTATAACTAGTCCCAACGGTACCGTAATAAACATTGTAAATCCTACCCACAAGTCCAAACAATACACATGATAATTCCTGCATCTCAGAGTCATTCTAGCTGTTTAATCTTTAAAGTGCCACAAGGAAGTTCATAAAAAAATGCAATCAACCATCATGTAACTGAATAATGTAAGTTATTGATAATCTGTGAGATCCACGGAGGTTTAGTAATCCAAGATTATCTTATAACTCCAGACCAAGTTTCACAAAAACAAGAATATCTATGGAATGTAAAAATGGTTCGATGTTTCACAAAACATACATCCATTATTTATTTATTTTTCTTTTCAATTTCCATTTTCAGTTAATTCAAATTAAAATCATGGTCTTGTGGGCCACTGTAATTATCAGCTATAATCAGAACCAGAAAGTTTATCGGCAGTAAAAATTAATTAATAGGCCTAATGGTTAATTTGCCTTATTGAAATAGTAACCATAGAAAACACAACCTTGTTCCCACAAAATGGCTGATTCACCATTTAGTGAATGACTTTGTTCTGAACGCAAGTTTACATGTAACATTTATAATGGTATGAAACCAGTCATTTACGAACATATTCTCCACTATGAGCTACTACTGGGTTTCATATCAGTCTGCTATAAAACAGGCAACAGATGAGAATTTTGAAACCTGCAAGTTCGTGAAGTTTTAGCATTTCAAGTTTGAAGGATCACTGCAGTCCAACTGCAAGCAAAATCTAGATGATTCCTCGACAGATTACCGTACGTTTATTAACCTTGCCTTATTTTCGTTTTGGAAACCTATTGTCCTAATTAATGTTGACCTGTGAGTGAGGTAGCTCAGTAGGTTAGTTTGTCAGTATTGCAGATCCATGGTTCCAAACCTGGTCCGGTCGATTACATTTTTTCACTCAGATCACTGTTGATTTTTTTCGCTTTTTCTCTCCATTTTTATTATTTCCACAAAACAAGATTTCCTTTCCAGAAATGATTTATAAAAGCTATACTAATAACAGAATAAAAGTTTCCGATGAATTTGGCAGTGGTACCGGGATCCTAAATACCAGCGGAGCAGACGTAGTCGACTTGCTGACTATATGCTGTACCACCTGACTGTATATATACATAATTAGTGCTGGACTGTTACTACAAAACTACACTTTTAATGTCCCTATAGTAGAGTGGCATGAATATTTCATGTCCAGGTACCGGAGGGCAAAGGTCAGCTAGGGGTATTGATCCTCATGCTGCTGTGTACATAATAAATCTTGTAGTAAATCTGAAGTCAATCTCAGATTACAACCTGTCTATAGTGACCATAGTGACCACACCAGAAGCCAAACTTTACTCATTTACCCCTGAAGACATATATGGACTCTTCCAATTCAAAGGTTGGAATAGTTCATTATGAAATTACAGGGGTGAATGAGTTAAAGAAGGTCAATTTAAACTGCCTTTGGGTTTCATTTTTATACCAGACTACGTTAATGCTTCTGTTATCCATTACTCTTCAAGAACATATTTTATCATTGGTAACTTTTTGCTGGTTTCTTAGAAATAGAGATTTTTTACGGATAAATATTTTGAAAATACTCTCCCTAACTTCGTTGTGGGGGGTAAAACAAAATCTTCATTATTTGTCTTAACTGTATCTTGGTATATACTGAGTGTCTGCATCTCAATTGATTTTTTAATGGTTGCCAAATTTGTCTCCGACAGTCTTGGCCCGTCTCAGAATTTACAAACTACTAAGCATACTACGTATACATGTATAAGGGATAAGATGGGACCTGGTAGGTACTGGTATGTAGGTATGTAGGTATCATGGAATGTGAGGTGTCAGGTACTTAAATCACATTCCTCTCATCAAATTTATTGATCCATGGACTATTCCTCTCTTCTTTATATACTGCAGGCAAATTTTTTTTTTTAAATAATGCAGACATCTTAACTCAATTAGTCACTGTTAAAGTGTTTGTAAGTGTAGTTTCAAAAGCCTAGTATTCCCTGCAGAGTGGCCATTTTGTTTTCAATCAATCAAACTACTATGAAACAATTTACATATTTTTGAAATTAATTTAATTATAAGAAGAGCATGCAAAACTTACCAAAAATGTTAAGCCTCATCATCTGACCTTATTATAAAAG